ATATATATATATACATATACATATATATATGAAGAGCTTCTTACACAAAAGACGTGGCCTATGGAGCCAAAATTTAAGTGTGGTGGCTTGCTCTTATTTATCCATTTATCCCTATAAGAACCAACTTTAAAGAATCAGATCAATGACGCTTAGAGAGGACTTATTAGAAGTTTGAACCTCATCTTTGACATGCCCAGACTTTAGTAACACTGCATTTGACAAACACAAACGCCATTGTAGAAAGCTGTCCTAAACATATCCAACATAAATTGATGTAAATAGAATTAAGATAATAAAGATTATATATATATATATATATATATATATATATATGAAAGTTTCAATAGAAAATTTGATTGTGTTAGGAATTTAAATATAGATACATAATTAACTTTATGTAAAACGGTGTGTTTTTCTTTTTTTCAAATTAATGCCTAGGATTTAACACTAGAGGAATGCCAACTCCTTTTTATTGTATTTACCAAACACCATTGGATTCTTAGTACAAAAAAAGCCCAATATGTGCTTCACTCTTCTTACTTGCATCAATAACCTTATTCAATATATTAACCTACTATGAATTCCATTCATGAAAAGAAAGTTCAGATCATGCCATGAGCTTCAATTAGAAAAGAACAACAAAGAATATTCTTATAGGGTGTCTGATTTGATGCATATGGAAATAAAATGCCGCAAAAGAAGATTTGTGAGAGAACTGAACTAAAAAATAATTTTCCATCCACCATTTTACTTCAAACTGTCGGGCTATAATGTGGAGCCAAAGCAATTCTAGCATCATGCAGCAGGTAGGCTGGTGAATTGGCGCCAGCCATGGGCGTGAGGCCCACGCCTAAGCACCCATAGATGGGCGTTCCACAGAGGAGTTGGTGCTAATGCGCCGGCTTTAGGCGCTCATGTGCTCAATATAGAGCAGCCCCTGGTTTTTTTTCCCCCATATATCGACATTTAGGCGCCGGTTTATTGGCACCTAGGGGCCCATTTTTGGGCGTAAATACAGAGAGTTTGATGTCTAAGCACCCATAGATGGGCATTCGACAGAATAGTCGGCGCTAATGCGCTTGCTTTAGGCGCTCATGCGCCCGATATAGAGCAGCCCCTTGTTTTTTTTTTTTTTTCTGAGAGATCGACATTTAGGCGCCGGTTCATTGGCACCTAGGGGTCCATTTATGGGATTAAATACAGAGAGTTTGACGCCTAGGCACCCGGGAGTAGTTACCTCAAAATTTTCGATTTTAAGCCAATTTTCCAGCATGGAACATTGGTTGCCTGTTGAGTCTTCTTTGGTATTCCTCGACAACTTTCTGGCGTAGGAGAGATGAGTCAAAGAGGAGATTTTTTGGGCTCTCAGTGTGTGTTGTTCGCGTCGGATTGAAGAAGGAAGATTGTGGAGCATCATGTAAGTTTCTTCGTATGAGTGTGAAGAAGAAACTTGTTATTCCATTATAAAACTTTTTGAATTATATAGTGAAATTTGTGGTGACGTGACTCCGTGATTTTTTTTCGTTATATAAAATCCTTGTATGCTTTCTGGTTGCTTTGATTAAGCTTTCTATTTATTTTTGTTTCGATTTTCTCGAATCTTGTAATCCTATTCCGCGTTAACATTGAGAATTCTTTGGAGGACTTCCAACACAAACCATACCTAGAGAAAAGTAATTCTACAAACAAAAATTATTGTATTTTGCATCAATTTTCACCAAAAACAACACACCCCCTTAGAAAAATGAAACAAACTTGTAAAATGGATAAGAAACTTAACCTAAACCTGAAAGCCAAAAAAGAGGGGAAGATGTGAAAGAAAGTGAATCAACGAGCAACCTGCATTGGTGACAGGTCTTCCCCTTCACTTGATCATAGATCCGCTTCCCGCTATTATCATAACCATCCACAAAGAGAGTCCAGCCCATTTCACAACTTCCGAGCAACTTTTCATGCTCTTCGTTATAAACCTCTTCCCTACGTCCCTCGATCAAGTCCGAACTGTCATCAGCCAAAGGATCCTTCTGTCTTTCCGCTCCATTCTCATGATAGCAAACCGGAGCTACATTCCGTAACCTAACACGCGACAAAACACGAACATCTTCATTAACCTAATCAACTAAGCAAACCTCAAGAAATGCGCCAAAAGAATTAAAGAACAGGTCATGAAAAACCTAGAGGAGCGCCTCAGCGACGGAGTTAGAGACGGAGCTGAAAGGCTTCTGGTCCTAGTAGAGCGTCTTGGAGTCGAAGCTGGAGACGGAGCCGAAGGCCTCCCGGCCCTAGTAGTACAAACTGGCTTTAGATTTGAGGAGCGGCAGATTTCGGACTTGAGGTTGAGGATACCCAGCTTCTTCATCCTCTCCATGTTCTCCTTTATCCTTTCACTGCGAGACTTCTCGTAGACGGATTCCATCGCATCTCCGCCACCCTCGGCTATGATTTGGGCGGGGAGAGATCTCTTCCTCGAGGTCAACATCTGAAACAGGCGTAGAGCTGGCGATGATCTGCTCTCTTCTTGCTCTGGCTTGCCCCGGCAGAAAGCTATTGGAGGATTTTAGGGTTTATGTGGGAGTGGGGGAGTGTGGAAAATAGAAGTGTGTGGGGTGGAAGGGGAAAGTTGCGCAAATGCTGGCCTTCAACTTTCTAGACTCCAACGGTCGGCTAGTAGTCGTCGCAGGTGTGAAGGAGTGACTGTTGAAAAAGCGCTTCGTTTCATGCTAGGAGCTTAGCTTTGGCTCTGTTTCTCAATTTAGCTCGGTTTTGGTTTTTTTTTTTTTTTTTTTTTTTTTTTTGGTTCAGCGGCCTCCTCACCGTTTCCCACTATTTGTAGGAAAAGTGGACATCCAATACCTATCAGCGGCCTAGCTTTGTCGACGCAGATTTTACCCCATGCCTCTTTTATGAAGCCTAACCCCTATCCCACGAAAGAGAAGAATGCGTGATCTTCTCCCCTCCTCTCTTCTTCTCCAGCCGGTGACGGTTCCTAATTGTCTTCCTCCTCTTCTCCTTCTTCTCTTCTTGTTCCCGTGATCTCGTAAAGTAGGGTAAGAAATTTTGGCCCTATCCCATAAATCTGTTCTAGGTATGATTTCGTGGCGGTTTTCTGTGGGGTGTTGCTGTAATTTTTTGATTTGATGGTGGTTTTTTGTCGATGACGGGAAGAACTACACCTGTATGGATACTTGTATATGAGATTAACTTTTTTTTGGGTTTTACTTGTTAAGCAGTTACAAGGAGTTATTGTTGAAGGTTGGAGCATTTACAAACACTGCTCTTCATGTTTCAAATCTTTTTTGTTGTTACACATGTGCACGGTAATGAAAATTAGAGTGTGTGTAAAACTGTATTGATATGTTGTTAAATAATGAGGTGTTATATAAGTAGAAAGGTGCATGTGTCCTGGTTTGCAATATTGTCTTACATAATACATAATAATTTTTTATCGGTTTTACCAAACAAGGGTAACATGGTGAAATCTCTGTCGTTTTCACACAGGTGCACCAAACAAACAGTCAGTTTCCCCTTAGCTGCTTTCTGGGACAGCGCAGTTGCAGTTGAAAAGCTGAGAAGCTGCAGCTGCGCTAAATAGACCCTGAATCTGGAGGCGAAGCAGCTTGTTGGTTCTAGTGATGTAGTAATTGAGTTTAGTGTTGACCTCACTTTTGGTTGAGGTCTAGAAACTTCTTTAGTAGCCTAGGTCTAGCCATAGGACTTTCCTATTGACTAGTCTTAGAAAACTAGAAAATGTACCCTCACCATTAGAAACTCAAAACTCTTTTCTTTACTCCTTGAAGTTCCACATATTGGGGTCCTAACCTCTAGCACTTAGTAGGTAA